TGCAATAAATGTAATAAATTGCACTTATCCCTGTGATCTTAAATCACGCTTGGGCCGCAGCAATTTGGGTCGGTTTCTGGAGCTCACATTTCTCCCCACTTATGCTCGAGTCCCATGAAGGGCCTAATAGGAGCTGAAGGTCAGGTTTCGACAGCGTCCGAAAGTCAGAGCAGCGCACCTTGTTAGTTCGGTATATTTGTTCCATCCCATATAGCGAGAAGACGTCGTATACACGAGTAGAGATCGTGAAATAATGTTTTGATACTGCATTTCGGAATTGGCGTTTTTGCTGGTTGGTCCTGGTAAAGTATAGCATGCCTAAATAGTAGTGCGTGGGTGCATGGTCCAATTCTAATCGAACGTTGTAAGCTATTTAGTGCGGTGGTTACACACACAGGTAATTATGGGTTGGTTCGAATGGTGGAGGTATGGGGTTGATGTCCAGGGGTGCAGGGAAGCAATGTTATCGATAATCTCATTCAGCGTAATCGGCATATTTATTCCTTAAAAGCGTTTGATTTAAGGCAAGTTTTTTTTTCTCCCACGTCCTCTCTCTGCTTTTATTTCTTTTTTCTTGCATCCTCTTCTTTTACGATCTGTCCATTTACACTCCATTTCTTTTCATTAGGGTAGAATTCAAGTAAGCGAATGAATTTTTTTTTTGTTGCCCATATTAGGCAAGTGATCGTTCATAATACTTTTTCAACAATTTGACATTGATGGGCGTCTCTATAACATTTCCATTTAAGGTTCGTAATTTAAACACATTTTTGGGCAAAGCCTCATGGATGTAGTAAGGTCCTGTCCATTTCGGCTCTAGTTTCACACTCGATAGAAGAGAATTTTGTCTCTGATTCTAGTTTGGGGCTTGACTTAACGTCTCGGTCATAACGTTCTTTTATTTTGGTCTGCGCCTGTTGAACTCGTACTATGGCGGAGTTACGAACTTCGGGTAATTTTTCAATCAATTCTATTGTTCGTTGAATTATCGTTTCGTTAGTTAATTCTCTTGTCCCACTAAGTTCTATGGGCAACCGTGCTTCTCGTCCATAGGTTAGAAAAAATAGTGTAACTTTCGTGGTTGAGTGCTTGGTTGTCTGATATGCAAACAGGATGGCCGGTATCACTAAGTCCCAATCAGTAATAATATTTATCAACTTTGCAATTGCTTCACAGAGGGTTTTGTTGAATCGCTCCACCAACCCATTTGTTTGTGGGTGGTACGGCGTGGATAATAGGTGCTTGATACGGAATTTTTCCAGTAAACGGTTCACCACATGATTAAGAAAATGCTTGCCACAGTCTGACAACATCTTCTCAAGACATCTATGACGGCAAATTATTTCATGAAATCAGAGACTTCTTGGACGTTAGCAAACAGAATTGCCTTGGCTTTGGGCCACTTGGTTAAGTAGTCTGTTGCTACTACGATATACCGGTTAGACCATGGAGTGATCAGTAGGGGACTGACTATGTCAATTCCAACTTGATAAAAGGTTGTAGACACCAGTATGGGATATAAAGGACCTCTCGTTTTATTTCTTCCTCTCTTTTGGCAGTTTTCGCATACTTTAACATAGTCTTTTATGTCATCGAATATCTTAGGCCAAAAATAAATTCCTCTAATCTTTTCAAACATGGTTTCTGCCCCAAAATGTCCGCTAGTGGGGTGGTTGTGCGTCATCAGGAGAATGGTATCGACCTCATGTCTCTGAATCATCCTGATATTCCTTTCTAGATAATGTAGGTTGGGCTTATAGAGAAGGCCATCCGTTAACTTTAACTTCTTACTAATTCAAATTATCTTGTTCTTTTCACCCTAATTTAGGTTTGGCGACAGATATTGATCTTGTAGATAACGTTTGACCCAATTGTACAATGTTGGTTCCATTATTCCTTTTGTTGTCAGGACACCGACAACCTGAGCTAGATTCTAGTTTATAGTCAGATTTGTTTTTCTCGAGTCTCTCTTCCGGGGTAAGCTCTATTCTGTATTACTTCTTTAAATTGGCTTATCAGTTATTTTTCTTGTATTCATGTGTTTTGGTTTTAGAAGGAGCCCCACTACCCACTCTAACTCATCCTAACCAACTGCATAATCGTTAGGTCTGTTTAGAGGTTTTTTTTTTTTTTTTTTTCTACCATGTTCTTATATTTATATATATATTTCCTTCCTATTATATCTTTCATAATTCTAGAAGTGTGGCATGTGCCCCGGGGATTATTGATTCCAAAATGATAAACCTACATCGGTCACATCGTTGATCATTTCTATAGGTGTTGACGGCTTCGATATCCAGTTGTTCCATACAACCTAGGTCAATCCCAGTTGCCAGCAAATATTCCCTTCGTGCCAATTCTTGATAGGCTCCCAACATAATCTACTCCTTCAAGGTTAGCAAATTCCTTGGGTTATGGGCAATCAATTGGTAGCCGAGTTGCTCCATCATGAAGATGGTTCTGCCCCGGTTTATCATTTCCAAGGCGAAGTGCTCTAATCCCATAGGGTGGATGTATACATGAAACATTTTTCCATAGGACCAGTTGAGGTGGGAAAAGTTCAACGCACCACGATATTCAGAACCCATTTTCCAAAAGTGCATGGGCGTCATATTTTGGGTCCAAGTTTGGATATTGACTTCGTTAGAGGCCTGTGTACTGGGTTCTGGTGGTTCATTTTCCTTATTTTCAGCCTCATCTTCTGCTATAAACACTTCCCTTTCGTTCTCTGGTTCATGGCATCCAATTTCTCTTTCCTGAGTGAGTACGGTTTCTTCATCATAGTCATGGTTGTGCCAGAATTCTTCGCCTTTTTTATCAGCAATTTCCGGGTTAGTATTTTTTTCTTCATCTTCTGAATCTACTTCATCTTGAGATATAGCTACTTCTCTTGAGATGTATCTAGGGTATGTTTCTAACAACACATTCCAAACCAGATCTTGATACTCTAGCTCCTTTTCGTACCCTTTGATTATGAATTTTTTCTCCTGGGTCAGGAAAAGGGCTTGTTATTAGTCCAAGTCCAGGTGCTTTACTAGTGAAAGTTCTTTTGACGGAATCACTTGGGTGGTTGTTCAGCTCTGATTTGATAGTTTCTTCTTCTGAGTCGTCATTTTCCGCTTTTATCATAAACACTTCACATACTTCGGTGGCACCATACTAGTTATTTTCCCATTCTTGGTTGGTGGTATAACCTTTTTCTTCGGGTTCCCACCAGGTTTCAGTAATTTCATCACCCCATTTATCATCATCACCGTAGTCAATTCCTTTATTTGGCTTTCTCCATTTTGGCGGCTCTACGCTATATGTTTCATTCAAACTTGGTTGGCCATTTTCATACTCGTCATTAGACCACCATGATTCTTCTACGGTGTCATATTTGTCCTAGGTTAGTACTCGACAAAATTCCCATGCTAGTTGCTCTAATAGTTCTTGATGACTTTCTTGTTGGTCATAATCGCTTAACTATTCTATTTCATATCGGTTAGGCTCATCCCTATCTTGGTTACTATTTTCAGGCTCATTATGTACATAATCGGCCATCAATAGGAGCCACTCTTTTTCTTCAAAATTTATAAAGGTGTCGTTTGTCTTTTCCGATTTTTTTCCATCAATCAGGGTTTCTTGAATCTCAGTCTCGGGCGCAAGTTGCCGTGAAAGAGCGTCAGCGTCATTATAGATCTTTCCAGCCCGATGTTGGATAGTATAATTGTATAGTTGTAGCCTAATTATTTACCGGGCGCGTCTTCTATTTAATTTTGCTGTGTGGAGCTATTTGAGTGCCACGTGATCCATTACGACTACGAAAAGTTTAAATCCGAAGTAGTGATAGTAGTATTCAACCGACTATAGTACTGCTAAACACTCTAATTCCATGGCAGAATAATTTTTCTCTGCCCGTGACAATCCTTGACTGGCGTAAGAGATTACTCGATCTTTATTTTCTTTGTCTTTCTGGACAAGCACTGCGCCTAGTCCCGTATTGGAGGCATCAGTGTGTAAGAAGAAAGTTTTAGAAAAATCAGAATACTGAAGAATGGGAGCTGAAGTTAGGTGGGCTTTTAGATTTTCAAATGCCTTTTGCTGTTCGTTACCCACTCATATTTGATGTTTTTTTTTAATAGTTGGTGCAGGGGCCGTGCTATATTTGCAAAACCTTTAATAAAACGGCGGTAATAAGATGCTAGCCCTATAAAGACCCTTAATTGCCAGAGAGTTCTTGGGATTGGATAATTCTTGACTTTTTCAATCTTTCCTTCGTCTGGTTGAATATCTTTACACTCAACAATGTGTTCCAGAAATTGAATTTCGGGTTTAAAGAAGCTGCATTTTTCTATGTTGATTTTTAGACCGGCCTTTTCCAACTTTTGAAGACCTTCTTCAGGTAACTTAGATGTTCGTCAAATGTATGGGAGTAGATGTTGATGTCATCGATATATACGGCCACAAACTTCCCAATGTATTCTGATAATACTTTGTTCATCAGGCGTTGAAAAGTTGCGGGGCATTACAGAGCCCAAATAGCATGACGCGGAATTCGTAGAGGCCACCTCTCGTAATGAATGCGGTTTTTTCCTGGTCTTGGGGGTCTACATGAACCTGCCAATACCCACTTTTAGGTCCAAACTAGAAAACCATGTGGCTTCTCGGAACATTTCCAACAGGTCATCAATACGAGGTAATAGATACGCATCTTTCTTTGTTACGGAGTTTAGATGTCGGTAATCGATACATATTCGTAACTTTTCGCCTTTCTTTAGAACTATTAGGGAGCCACCAGAAATCAGCTGATTTCCTAGAGGAGGGGGGGTTTCTTGCTTAGTCAGGTCACTATATATCCTTTATTCTAATTGGCTAATACAACATATTATTTATATACTATATACTATATATGAAATTTTTATTAGTTAATAACTTTTGATCTACTAGTTTAATTTGGATGATTTAACTACCAAAATGATCCTCTCAAAGAGAGGATTCTAGCAAGCCCAAAATTATAAAATTCCAATC